GTATAATCAAAGTTTCATAGCATTTAAGAGTAAAAACAATGACAAGTTCAATTGCAACTAATGCTTTAATTTACTAGTGCAAATGATTGTTGTTGAAATTTCATCAAAAAATTCATTTCAAACAATTAGTTTATTATTGAAAGTAATTTTTTTAATACTTTAATTTATTGGAAAATACTGTTGCATGTAAATGGTACTTTTCTTCTTGTAATCTTGCAAAAATGTATTTTTCCATTAATTTAGTTGCATTAGCGCAGATGTCCGAAAATAAATGCGAGAGAGAATTTTTAAGTGAAACTTAAAGGTTGTTGTTAGTTTCCAAAAATTTCTTCAATAATTTTCATTTTGAGATGAATCTATTTATAAATTTAGTTTAAATGATTTTATCAAATAATATCAAAAAAGGTTGAGAAAGTTTTGTCGTTGCAAATTCTTGCTTTTGCTTTTATATATTGCAATTTTTTGCACTTAAAAAATTTTCGAATTAAAAAATTCACAGCTTGAAAGTTTTTTTTTCAGAAAAATGAGCGCCGCGTTCATTTTTCTTAGTCATCGATTTTCTTTCTCGTCAATCTCCGCCTTAAAGAAACTCCAAAAAGGAAAAAAAAAAGATATAGAGCACTTAAATTTGACGGTCAAAGAGGAGAAAGGAATTAGAGACTATTCAAAACTTAACTAAACTAATAATCTGGAATGAGTGAATTTAAAGATAAGAAATTGTTCCAAATGATTTGATTTTAACCGAACTTATTTTCTTTAGCTATTAAATTTACAATGTACGCTTAGGGAGGTGAATATTTGACATTTTAAGTATCGAATTTAAAAATACACAACCTAGATTTGCAGAAGGCTTAAAGTACGATCAATATATCGTTTTGAAAATAAAAAATGAAATTAATGTCTTGCAAAAATTATGAATTTTGATAAAGTCTAGAAAAAAATGTGTTCTAATTTTATTTATACAAATAAAAAAATATTAATGATCCCGACTGTCTGATAGTACAAGGTGTTGTCAAAGATAACTGTATTGTTCAAGAAATTTTCAAATTTAAAGAAAAATGGAATCTTTTCATCTCATAGAAGTCAAAATGCAAAAATGAATTAGAGCAGTAATTGTTGAAATTGCATAGAATCGGGAAAAAAGCCAACAGGTGATCTTTCGTAAGAAATCAGTATTCACAGTCAAATTTTAGAAAACTAATTAAGAAATACAAGACCGTAGTCTCATCATTTATTCTAATACATAAAAATGAATTAATGGATTTGAATCAACTAAAAGATTCTTAATTTGCGTAACTGTTTGCAGAATTCAGGACAAAATTCATTTGTTAGGCAACAAATAGAATTAAACCAAAATATAAATTTTAAATTTACTCCGGCATATACATCATTGAATTTGGAAGAAAAAAAAGGAAAATGCTTTCAAAAGTTTTCAAATCTTAAGATTTGATCAAAGAATTGGAATTTTGCATGCATGCATACAGGAAATTTGAAATTCTTTTTCGATACAAATGTTTTTTTTTCAAAACTTGAAAAACGATCAATAAACTCCTGCTATAAAGTGAATAATGAATCAAAATGTACTATTAAAAAAAATTGTAAAAGGTTTTTCTTCGTTTAAAAAAAAGATTTTTTTGTTTAAAAAAAGAAAAAATATTTTATTTTGCTGAGATGAATAAAAACAAATGCATTGTTTTTGCTTAATTTTTTATAGCATACGAAATTATTTTTTTGATTGCAAAGTTAAAATATTTTACATATTGTTAGTTCATTTTCGTAAAGTTTAATGTCATTCCCGAAATATGTCAAAGAATGATATGAGCAATATGGCTATTTTTAAGTCGTTGAAATATTATGTTAGTCAAAATTTAACAATGAAGTTTATTTCTGGCACAAAATATCTGAAAACAAATCATTAGGCTATTTTTTTCTTTGTTTTTTCCAAGTCAGGCAATAATAATAATAAATGACAGCTGTGTTATTGCACAACAAATTTTATAATCTTCATTTTACAACAGCTTGCGTAAGGCGTTGTAATTTTCATTCCTAAAATACATTAAATTTCTTAATTGCTTGTGGGAAGCAAAATTCAACATTAGCCTAATTATTTCGTCAAAAATATTAAAAAATTTTTCGAAATATGAAATTTCAAATAATTCAATGGGAACATTTTTTTTTGCCCCAAAATAATTGCTAAATAACAATTAAAATTGGCTCCCTTCATCATTTTGATATGAATTTACAATTCAGGTTGCAATTGCAAAATAAAATTCATTTTTAAGCGAAATAATCGAAAACGATTAAAAAAAATACTTTTCATAAAAAGAATGCTATTTTTAACCAATTTTGAAATAAAAATAAAATTTAAGGAAGTTAATGAATGAATATTTTGCTAAAACTAAAGCAATAATAGCGATATTTTCGTGATATTTTGTTCACATTGAGTGATTGCTCTTTGCAACGTGGAACAAATTCACAAAATGAAATTTAAAAAACATCTCTGAAAGCGTATAATGTTCACGAGAATACCAAAACTCATGAGAATACTAAAGCATTTATTATAGAATTTCCGAAAAGCACAAATTATTACTGTAGAATAATTTTTATTTTTTCTTTTAAAAATTCGTTTAAAAATGAAACACGAACAATATTAAAAAGAATGAAAAGATAAATAATTCAATTTCATTTTTAGACTTCGAGATTCTATTAAGCAAGTGATATTAAAAATTGTTTGTTGGACAAGAAAAAGTTTCAATTCATTTTAATTCTTTTTAAAAATATTGTTAGCATTAGAACTCGGAAGAATTCATGAATGTAAAAGCTGGCACTTTCTTTGCATTTTATGGAAAAAAGTTTCGCAACATAAGAAAATATGTTTAAAACCGATATCTAATATTAATCATTTTTTATTTCTCAAAAAATTTTGAGGCAAAATTTCTCGATAACATTTGTTACAGAACTTTTAAGAATCAAATTTACTGAAGAAAATAAAAGAAGAAAAAAAGATTGTCAATTCTTAAAAAAGAATGGGCGATAATCAGATTTAACAATGAAAAATGTAATAATGAAAAATGATTAAATTTTGAGCACTGATATGGTTTTGTGAAATGAAATAAAGAAAGAGAAAAAAAATGAGAATGAGGAGAATTTGAAATTCACACATTTAAAAAATAAAAGAAATCTTTACATCAACAACAAATTTATTCTTTAGATGAAAATTTTTTGAAGGCAAAAAAGAAAAAAGATAAATATGAAAATTTTTTTTTACAAACAGTGAAACTGGAATGAATTGAACTCAGTTTTTCCGAAACAACACAATGGATTGACAAAATGATAAGCAACAGTGCGTTGAAAAAAAAAAAAATGGAAATGATATTATTCGACCAGTTGAATATTTTTGTAATTTAAATGTTGAATTAAAGATTCAAGAATTTTGAGGGAACTGTTGAAAAAGGATGTTTTGTGATAAATTGCAAAAGCAATAAATAAAAGTGCAAAAAATCATTCTCCAATATACAAGTTGATTTTTTTTTTTTTTCACAATCTTTTCACATTCGCGAAAAAACAAAAATGACTATACGCTGATTGTTGTAACGATTAGTGAGAGAATGAAATTTTTCCTCTTTGACCTGTTCCATCCATTCTTTATTTCACATGTTGAAATTGATAGCCTTGTGAATGATGAATGATACGAAGAGCAATAATGCTAATATGACTCGAAACTGTTCTGACCGGGAAGTACGAATGGGTTATGGTAATGTTTATCTTTAATTAACTAAAAGAATTAAGAAAATAAAAATAATCTTGATCAAATGTTTGCTTTTTGTAAAATTAAATGAAAAAGATTAATTATACAAGCTTTGTGCCAAAATCTTTTCAACATCAGAATCTCTGTATCAGAATCTTTGTATCAGAATCTTTGTATCAAGAAGTATTTTTTCATTTTACGAAAAAAATCCCGTTACTTTTTTTAAATAACTGATTAAACTGCAAGAAATAACTGATTAAACTTACTTTTTTTTTAATAACTGATTAAACTGGAAGAAATTTCACTGCATGATGAAAATTGCTAACATTAAGCAGTAAAAATCAGATTTATGCATGTATTGTTAATGAGCGAAAAAAAACGCTCTGTTTAAAGGAGCAAATTATAAAATATTACGAAATGATTCCTCGAAATGAAATTGGAATGTTCGATGAGAACATTTTCACTTCTTCAATATTATTCCAATTTGCATTTGTGATTTTATCATGCACATCAATCGTATCAGAATAACTTGTTTTGCATGTTGCATCTGTTAGCAAGATGTAATAGGTAATCATTTCATACTTTTCTTGAAGTATCATTCAATTTCAATTAATCAGAAAATGAATACAACAAAATTAAAGATTTGCTTATCAAAAATGTTTTAGTACAATTAACAAATGATATTTCTTAACAATTAAACAATAGGAATTAAATATTTTTTGATAAGAATAATATGAAAAGAATTGAAGTCGGTAAAGCATTTTTGATAATTTTGTAGAAAAATTTAATGAAGTTAACTAAAGAACGCATATGAATTAAATCTCAAAATAAACAGATAAACAGATCAATTTAACTCAGGAATAATTTTTTCCATTATCACTAAAAAATATTTCGTACCTGTCATACCTATTTTTTGGACAAGAAAGAGAGCAATAATTGCAATCCAAAAATTAATTAGGATGAAATATCATACAAAATAATGATTATCTCGAGAAACTAACATTTCAAATAAATTTCTTCATTACCCAAAATGAGCGGATAAATTTTATGAAATCATATATTTCTCTAACTTAAATTATCTATTTTCTTCCCTATATCAAAAAAATTCTTTTTCTATGACGACATGAAATATCATCCAAAAATGTGCTATATGAGGGAACATTACTTCTATGGATTAATGAGTATTAATTAAAACAATGCTTAATGGTAAGAATGAAATTATGCAAACAAAAAGTCACGTTTCATTTTTCACTCATTGATTGCTACTCGGTCCATCTCCCGACCCATCATTGCGAAAGTTTGACATTCCGTTAAGCAATGCCGCAGCTGTAATGTACTGTTGCAGACTGAGAGGCTGAATGTTTGATGGTTGCGCCATTCTGCTAGCAATCGATTCGCCATTTGCGCTAGCTATTCTGAAAATTGAAAACAAAAAAATCTCAAAAAAGTGGAAAATTTCAGGAAGGATCAATCAATTGATCAATTAATTAATTAATTCAATTAAAAAGATAATTCATTGATAGCTTACTCTCTTCCTTATTTTCTCCATCTCAACTCTTTTCTCTTTTCATGAGGAAAAAAAAATAAGAGATTTAAGGAAGAATAGGAATTAAAATTTCATAAAAATAGATTTAATTGTAAAAAAGACTGATTGCTATGTCGATATAAAATCAGATCCATTAGGCTTGAATGTATATTCCCAACAAACAGTTCCTCTTTCATATCATTATTTTTTTGATAAGAATTGAAGTGCAACTTTTAAAAGTGCACTTTTTTCTCCTAGCAATACATTAAACAATAAAATGCGACATTTACGCTTTATAACAATGTTAAAGAAAAAAAAAGCTTACCCAGTCATTATATGATTATAGTATTCTCTGGAAGAATTATCATAGACACCGAAAATCGGTGAATTAACTGAATTCCACATATACTTCATGGTGAACGGATCCAAAAACGGAACATCCAATCCATAAAAGCGAGGATATTGTGCCGCAGTCGGTGTTATTGTTTGTTGTCGACGCGGAACGCTACAGCGCAGAAGATTTATTTTAATCATTTTTACATAAACTATGAGAATTTTTTGCAATGGGAAAGATTTTAATTCATGAAATTTACTTCAAATAGTTGAAGTAAACTTTTCTATGGATAATTTTAATAATGTGAAATTTTTTTTAATTTTTTCAATCTAATTACATGTTTTAGTTATGCATGAAATTTACCCCGCTGTTGCTCTGTTCAATCGTTTACCGTAGCAATCAGTAACCTCAAATGCATCCATATCAAATCCCAACGATGCAAGTGCTTGACGTGTATTTATTGTATATGCATTGTACGAATATTGTTGCGCAAAACTGTATAGCAAATTTATATTCGTTTTATTCAATGGAAAAGATTATATACTGATTAATTTGATTGGAATAATATGAATGGAAATTTTGTGTAAATTTTTTTTTTCAACGAATCACTTTTGATTAAAATTATTTTCATGTTTTCCTTTTTTTTTTCTCTCAACTTTTCTTTCACAACAATGAGAAATATCCCATTGATTAATGTGCGAATTTTTGTGACGAAAAATTAATTTTTGTAGGGTTCAAATTTAATGTATTTCAAAATTTGAAAAATGATTTAATTTCAAAAAGTTTTTTTGTGCATCAAAAGAATGGGAAAACCTTCACTTAAAGTACCTAAAAATGGCCTCTTGTCCACATCAAAAATCAACATTTTTTCCCAAATTTCTTAAAAAAAGTAGGAAAAATTTAGTTTGAATTTTGAAAAAAAGAAAAAGGATTTTAATATACTTTATTAAATTACATTTATTAATTAAAATTTAATTTCGAAAAACTAAGTTATAAAAATTGGAAATTATTTAGAGTGACTCAACCTTTCATCATATAATGTTGCACGTCTGTTACTCTGAAATGTAATCTATTTTAATTATTATTGAATTGAAATTTTACTTCATTAAAATTAATAAATAACTGGATAAAGTAGTGATTTTAATTGAATGATTAAGTATAACCGGATCTAAACAAAGTTTTCAAAAGGAAAGTAAAATCATTTCAATTGATTATTTATTTTTTTAAAAATGTGCATGACTGTAAAATATAGTAATTCATCTGAAAATTTATTGACTTTTAATGATTTAGCTAATGAAATTACTGCTTATTTATTGAATCATTAATAATTTTTAATTTATCAAACCTCATTGCTCCCATTCGCAAATACCGGAAGATTATTCACTCCGTGGACTGTATTTTCCGCTCTAATTTGGCCAATACTGATTGCTGGGAATAATGAACGATTACCTCAATTTTATAGCCTTACTTAAAGATAGTTAAATATCGAAAATGAAATAAAGTAATATAAAACAGTATTCTAGGACGATTACAAATTAAACTCATTCTTTCAATTTTAAACATTCAACAGACATTAGTTTATCTACAATCAAAAATGTTCTTTACATTAATTTAGACTTGAAATTAACTAAAGTTAGTTTGTTCCTTTATATAATTTTACATTAGAATAAACTAAAGCAATCTATGGCATTAATTAATTATGCGGAAACATTTACGAAGCGCTATTCGGGAAGCAATAGTTGGTCGATAAGTACCATTAATAATCGATAATTCCAGTAATTGCTTACGTTTTAGCTCATCTTCACCATCTGGCTAAAAAAAGCAAAAAAATGAATTGTGAAAAATTAGAACATATTTTGATTGATGCTTTATATTTGTCGCTTTTGTTGAATGTATTGTTAAAATGGACATGAATAATACCATAAGTGTAACAATTTTAAAAAAATAATTTTTTTTTTCTTCCTTTTGAACTTTAACAAATAACTTAATTGGTTAAACGTTACAAAAATATATTTGCTAGATAAATTCAAAAGTAAATAATCAATGAAAAATGATTAAAAAGCAATGTACCGGTGGAATAAGCATATAACGAATACATTCAACAGCTCGTTTCATTTTATCCTTTGCCGCTTCTTCGAAATCTTCACATTGAACCAAAACATGCAAATTTTCCTTCATATTATCGTTGTAGATAGTTTGACGATGCGAGCTACCCTTAAATTATAACTTTTACTGTTTATATAAACTTTTTTCCAAAAAATTTTCTGAATTTTATTAATATTTTTGTGTTTTTAATTAAATTATATGAAAATGATTTGAAAGAATTGAAAAGATAATTTTATTCATTGATTTTGTAGAAAAAAAAAGGAAACAAAACAACCTCACGGATTGATCCACGTCCACGAACCATTATACGGCAACCGGATTCTTCCTCAAGTTGTTTTGCTGTCATTCCACGTGGACCAAGAATACGTCCAACAAAATTATACTGTAAAAATAAAACAATAAAAGGGATAGTTTGTTTAAAGTTTTAAATTTAAAATTTTAAAATTTTAACCAAGAATATATCTAACAAAATTTTATTGTAAAAATAATATGAAAAATGAATGTAAAATTTCAAAATTTCGAGAAATTCATAGTTTATTTGTCTGGTTGTTTCAAAATTGCTAAATTTTTCAAGAAATTTTACAGTTTTGTAATTAACAAATATTAAAAGAAAAGTAACATTGGGATATTCATTCACTGGAATGAATATTTTCTCTTGCAGGAGAACTTTTTTTCCGTTTGTTGTAATTGGTGGTTTATCATCGGCAGCTTTTTGAGGTATTTCTCTTTCTGATGTTTCCACTGATTTTTCTTTTTTCGCTCTCTCTTCATTAACCTCCGTCATTCGTTTAATATTTCCACGAATTTTAGCAATTTCTGTATCATAAAAATTTTCAAAATTTCAATGATTAACCAAAAATTAGTTCTACAAGGAGTACGAATTCAAACGAACTGTTACAGAAAAATTCTTCGATTAAAGGAAAGCAAAAGCTTGATGCTGCTCGTTTTAAATGCTAAAATGATTTTTATTTACCTTTATCAATGAGAAGAACAGAATGTTTGAATTTAAAAATGTTTGGTAGCGCTTTCAATTTTTCCTTTTCCTTAAGAAGTCGTGTCAAATATTTCATATTTGCCTGCATAATTCAGAAAAAATTATTTAAGATTGCTTTTTCATCCTTTAAAATCATTTTAATTCCAGTTTGAAACTTTTTTCTCGTTAAATTTCATTTATTATTAAGAAGAGAAAAAGAGTTATCAAAAGCTTTTTCAGATTTCTAATATTTTAGAATGAATTTTCTGTATGAATGATTATAATGTTTGAAAATTGCTGGTCTACAAAGTGATAATAATAGGATGATTTGAATTAATCTTGCAGAAAATATATTGAATTAGAATTGACTAAATCAACACTAACTTCTCGAGTCAGATATGTTCGAGAACCAGCGAAATGAAATTTCAGTCGCTGCTTATTGGTGTTATTAGGATTCTCGTTGAAATTTTGCTTTTTACTACCGTCACTTTTAGCACCGGCAATTGAAACTGTTGACTTTTTCTTATCTTTTGTATCATGATCATCAGTAATTGATTCTGTTGTTTCTAGATTGTTCGAATTAATTGATTCCGTTGTTTCTCCAGTGTTCGAACATTCAGTAACTGAAGATAGTAATCAATTTTTCCATTAATGACATTTCAAATATGCAAATTCTGAAGAAGTTAATCCATCTTATAATCAGTTGATATAAATTTAAAAAAAAAAATAATATTTTCCTTTAAAATTCGAAGGTGATACAAAAACTTTGCATATTTCCTAAAAATACTTAATAATGTGATGCATGTTTAAGAACTTAGAAACATTTGACAAAACCTAATTGATAATTCTATTTCTAAGTACCACAGTTTTGCCGATCATTATTTTATCAGATGATGTTTGATCAAAGTACCTTCTGATTCTTTGAGATCCAGGCTCGCAATATATTCAGTAATGCTACTTTTTTCCGAATCACTCTAAATATACAAAATTTTATTTATTAATTATTTGTTTATATTACAAATGTATTTATATGCCATGCCATTTGAATGATTAAAACGTTAAGTAAATCTTTCCTCATACTGTAAATTTCTCTTACGTTCCTATTTATTGCTTGTAAAAACATTCAAGAAAATTAATCAATAAATTAACCATTTTTGCTCCTTTTGTTATCAGCAATAAAATTGTTCGTTGAATATATATGAGATAACAAGCGATAGGTATTCTAAATAAATTTGATGACACTTTACTTTGAATTGAAAAACGAAAAAACTAATAATAAAAAATGATTTTGCCATTTCAATCTCATTTTAAGCATAAAAATCATGAACATTTAGATCGGCGTGATACCATCCGTCAAGATCACGCTATAACTACGTCAATAACGCTCTGTAGGCCTCTCAAATGACGCATGCAATCCAAACAGCAAACTAATCGTTCTAATCCATCTATTAATCTAACTTTTTTTTAAAAATCTATTAATCGAAATTTTTGTTTGAAGCGAAAAATTCCATACAGTTATTTCCCCTGGTGAAATTGCTGTATCGCGTAATTACAATTCTTTCCTATTTTAAATTTAAATTCTAATAAAATCAATGCATTTATCAAAATATTCACAAGAGTATGCAATTTCAAAAATTATTACGGTTTTTCTTTCAAAAATTTTCCTAAATTTTACTTAAAAAATTTAGAATTTTAAATTTTACTTATTATTTGTCAAAACCCACTATTTTATTTTAAACTTCTCCATCAGTTTTGGAAATTTCAAATTTCACTTATAAAATTTAGAATTTCAAATTTCACTCACTATTTTATCAAAGAAAACTAGCAGTACTACAATACTGGGTTAGAAATATTGATGAAATCTCAGTAAAACACTTCCAAATTTTCTCAATCAAATCCTCTTGCAAATACTGGACCTTAACAAAGTATAACCTGGTAGAATCTTCAATTCCATAAAGCTTACAACTTACTCGAGAGATCAATGATCGAAAACAACCGCCTGTCAAGCAAAAAAAAAACGAATTGTTTTCCTTTTCGTACTATTTATAATGTCTTTCACGATTTATGCAAATTTTTTGCCGTATCATAATACCATATTGTGAGTATACACAGCTTAACTGAAATGGTGTCATATGCAAATTTTTTAGAAGTAATTTCATCATATCATCTTAAGAATATAGCATTCTTCTAAGAAAAAGAAAGCATGTTAACGAGAAATATGCAAATTTTTTCGAACTAATTTCTTTATCACATCATCTTAAGACTTTTTTCCACAAAAAAGAGTACGAGAAATATGCAAATTATTGGCAATTACTGATGCCCTGAATCAGATAGCATGAGTTATGTTAGAAATTTGAATTAGAATTCTGAAAAAATTTAACTGGATGATTTTCCGGATTTTTTAAATTTGTTTTTCATTTATTGTTTTTTTCTTTTCATTTATTGTTTTTTTTCTTTTGTAGAGAGATTGATTTTATAACTTTAAGTTTTGAAAGCTAAAAAGTTGGTTTACATTCTAATGAAAGCAGAGAGAGGGAAAGGTGAGGGAGAAGGAAGGAGTGAGAGAGAAAGAGGGAAAGGGTAAAAAAGTTTGAGAATTTGAGTGGTTTTTCTTATAAGTGAAAAATTTAATACCTCGGGAATGGAAATAAATCTGATTGCTTTTCACTTTTATTGAATTGTCGAATTTCTTCTTGTCATAAATAGAGGACATTTCATATTTGACTTTTGCTTAATAATACCATGCACTTCATTGCAATTATTGATTACATCTTATGGCAATTTAAAATTTCATCAAATAAATTCGTTTAAAAATGAATTTGATTCAACAAGCTCACACATACAGCAGCTGGCAGCACACTCTCACACCTTTTTTTCTTTTCCTTATTCCATCTTTTCATCCCGATAGTTATCAGTACGATGTCAGTATCCATCTGATAATTCTGGGACTTTTCTTGATATCAGTATTATCAACTAAACTTCTGTTCAATTTACATTATAATCGGTTTGTCCGTCTAACCACGACTGAAATAGCAGATTGGTACAAACGTGTGGCGGAATGCGTCCATTCCATTGACCTATTGTGGTTCGAATAATTTATAATTATTCGGATTATTGTTGATGGAAGCATGAATGCGTGCAAATATTAATTCCGAAATTTCGAATTTCATTTTCTTCCTAAAATGTCATTTCATATACTTTCCGTTAATATAATTTTATTACTGTTTGTTTTATTGTATTAAAATGAGTTCTCATTCATCCCATTGAATGACGTTAAAGGCTATCATTTTTTCAAATGTGAGAGAGAGAGAGAGGGAGAGAGATTAATTGCAGATAATTACAATGTAGAAGGAAGGGAGTAACTTCAATTTTCAGAAAAAAAAATCATTTTAGGCAAAATATTGAATGACGAATATATATATATA